AAGCACAAGGCCCTGAGTTTGATCCCAGGAACCCCCCCCCCAAATTATTGTTGTATTGGTCCAGAGACTTAGCTTAGTGGTACTGACACCTGCCTCGCAAGCACAAGGCCCTGAGTTTGATCCCAGTACCAAAAAAAAAATGTTGTTATATGCAACGGAGAAATGCAAGCTAGACACGGGTGGGGGGCGGTGATAAGCAACTGCTTTCTAAAGTCCTCCACCTTTCTGCGACTTTTTCCCCCTATTGGAAAGAGAGTTCTAGACTTTTCTTTAGCAATGTGAGTGGGGTTATCTTATAGGGAACTTCAAAAAAATAAAGCTTTGAAAGAGTGAATTAATTTGACTAAGATACGATCAGTTGGAGAAAGGCATAGATAGGGCAGGGATTCTTAGCCTCTTCATCTCTTTCTCCCCCATTTGGATGGCTCACAAGTTCTCTAAGTTTATGATAACGTATAGTGAACCTATGGTATGAGTGTTATTTTTCTTTTAAGACATCCAAGATGTTAATGTCAGTTTTTTTCTAAACTAAAACTTCAGCATTCAGGTATAATTGCAGTGTTGGCATTTTGCAATAAATACGTGGGTTTTGGCTTGCAGTTTGGGCACTCATCTCTTAAGATGTTCACCATCACTGATATAGTGGTTTCCAACCTTGAGCATTTCTGATAACTGATGATTTTGTGACCCAACAATGCCTATAATTTTCTTACTTTCTTATCAAGCAATTTTTAAAGAGTAATGTATACTTGTGTTCTTTTTGTTTAACAGGAAAAAGCTATTCCTGTTTTGTGTTCTACATCTACAACTTCTCTAAGAACACTGGCAAGAATTTCACATGATAAGAATGTCAATCCTGCTCCATCTAAAATAGTGATGTCCACAGGTAAATCAGTATTTTTCAAAGAGCTATAAAATTATCTTTTATACTGTGTTATTTTCAGTCTTGAAGTCAAGTCCTGGAAATGAAAAAAAAAGATGACAATAGTTAACATTTCTATCATTGTCAAATCTGTTATTTTCCCTTTATCTCTTCAGATTTTATTTTGTCTTTTTGTATTATATTTTCAAGCTACCTCAAACCTTTTTAAAATGCCTTTTGAAAATATTTTTTCTTGGCAATCCTTGCCTATCAAGGAGAATGGTAATTTTAAATTGGATCTGGTATGTGAAGAGTTTGAACCAACACAGACCCAAGCAAATCAATCCCTTTTATCTATTATCTTCTGCACATTTGCTTATTCCTGTTTTTAAAAAGCATGTTTTATTGTTTCCTCCCCTAGGTCCTTAATTATCTCCCTTATACTATTTCCTGGACTTTTTTCTCCAGTTTTTTTTTCCTGACCGAAAGGAAGTTATAACTTAATTCTTTGAAATAGAAATCACTTTAAAATTATTATTATGACATACCTAATTTTTAATTATTTCTGATTTTTAATCTATTCAGCAAGAAAGACTAGCCAAATGGATATAAGTTGACCATCTGAAATGTTCCATAATCCAAAACTTTGAGTACTGACACCATACTACAAGTGAAACATACCTGACCTCATATATTGGGTCATATGTTGCATTCAAAACAGAGGTGTACTAATATGTGAAAATTTACATTATAAACTAATGTACTAAATAATGTACTTGTTGATCTAGGAAAGCAAAAATTTGGATAATGATGTACCTTTGTGTTTTTTTTATTTACGCTGATTTGCATAAAATTATTGAAACTTGAGCTTTGTGTGATTATAGATGAATTCTTATCTTGTGCCTTTATACTAGTTCAGTTTTAAATTTTCTTCAAAATTGGCATATATAGAAGAAAATGTTTTTATTTCCTCAAAATTAATGAAATTAATTTTTCTGTATTATTAGAAGTTACACTGACGTATACCTTAAATTATTTGTTTACTCCAAAAAATGCAATTGAGTTTCAATATTAGTGACATAAAGTAAATTAAGTCCAAAAGGAGTATATCAAAATGACCAGTTTTGAAAGGAAATTCTTGTACTTTGTGTACAATTAGAAGAGGAGAATATTCACCTGTCTTTATGCCATTTTATATAATGTGGAAATATAAGAGGAATGGTTTTTGTGATGCCCTTAAACTTAGTTTCTAATAATGTAAATGATTACATTTTGGGCAAAATTCTAAAATATTGAATAAACATTTTGATTATTTTCTTGCATGTTTAGTATCTTTACACACATATTTACCTACATAGATAGCAGAAGTGACCATTGATACTATAATTAGATTCCTTTTAAGTGAAGTGATTTTTTTGATATAATAATTATAGTGTTTTTACAAATTTCCTTTTAATAAATATCATATCTGTGTGCACATTTTCCCTCTAGTCTGTGTTTATATAAACAAACATGGAAACACTGGCCCTCACCTAGACCCAAGGAGAATTCAACAGCTACCTGATCACTTTGGCCCAGGCCCTGTAAATGTGGTACTCCGGCGGACTGTGCAAGCCTGTGTGGATTGTGCCTTTGACGCAAAAACTGTTTTTGGATTTCTTAAGCCAGATAATCGTGGAGGAGAAATGATAACTGGTATACGAATATAATCCTTTATTCAACTTCTTTTTCCAAATTTGATTTTAAGTTGAGACACTAGTATTTTATAACATATAGGCTATTCTTAATATATATATTCTAATTACGCTGTAATATTTTACTGATATAATGTGTATAATAGTTACATATTTGTAGACTTTTAACCATGGTTTGGAAAGTTTATTCAGAAGAGATAAATGATGTCAGAGTAATACTTTAAGGTTATGTGTAATTTGTATAGATAACAGGCTGATCTATAAGAGCCTTTAAATAAAAATGTGATTCAAGAACTTACTAAGAGGGCCAGGGATGTATAGCTCAGTGGTGCCTCGCTTGCCTGGTAAGCACAAACTCCGGAGTTTGATCTCTGGTACCACACCCCCCAAAAAAATTAAGAGAAAAGATGTAGTGGGTGTTTTCCATACTTGTGTGATTGGATACCATTATTGCCCTTGGAGTAGAAATGTTGTTATAGGCCAATAAGGCTTCTGTTGTTTTTCTTTACTTTGTGAATATTTTTAAATAAGAGTGTTTTTACCAGTATAAGTTATTTACTGAGAACTTTTATAATTTAAGTTTATTCCTTTACGAATTACAAAAACTACAAATTAAACTTGTTATATATCCTAAATTGATGGAGGTTTTTGTTTGCATTGTATTTCTTATTTTTGTCTGAGATGAATGACATCTCTTTCCCTCTAAATAGCCTCTTTTGATGGGGAAGTTCATTCCATCCAGCTGCCTCCAGTGAATAGTGCATCCTTTGCTCTTCGCTTTCTTGAGACTTTGTGCCATAGCCTGCAGTGTGATAATCTTTTGAGTAGCCAACCTTTCAGTGGTTACAGGGGTAATACTCAAAGCCCTGTAGAACATGATAAACCTGTCTCAGGTAAGAAAAAATGTAAATTTTTATACTATGCTTCTATTTTGTACTTAACTTGAGAATATTGTATAATTCGTTTTTTATGTCTTCCTCAAAGTAAACATTTCAGCAATAGAGAACTAATTAGAAATATATATGTTTGTTTTTATTCATTTAAAATGGGAAAATAAGCTGGACATGGTGGGACACGCCTGTAATTGTAGTGCTGTAGGAGTTTGATGCTGGAGGATCACATCTTGAGCCTAGCCCAAGCAATTTAGTGATTTAGCAAGACTGTGTCGCAAAAAGAAGTAAAAAAATGAAAAAGGGATGAGGATATAGCTTAGTGTGAAGGCTCAGGGTTCATGCCTTAGTACCATAAAATAGATGACAGGCAGATAGAAAATAATTTTTTGTGTTCATAATAAAATTGAGAATCAAAGTGAATTATGTTTGGCTTCTTTGTGACTAACTAATTCATAGAGTTACGTATTTTCTATTAGGTTGAAATGGAGCTATAAAGCTACTGACCTTAATACTAAAATGTTAGCAAAGCATATTGAGCCCATTGGCTATAAATAATGATCTGCTTGAATTTAACATTTATTTAAGCCTTGGTTGCCTTTCTTTCACACAAACCCTCAACTGATGCCTGAATGAGAGGATCCGTGTAAGGCAGTCTTTATAACCAAAGGTGGTTCTGCTCCCTAAAGTAAGAAAACTCTTTGAGCTTCTAGGCTAATGTGTTTTGTTCTTTGGGAGAATGGTTTATCTGTTTTTATGTTTATTCATTCTTTTAAAACTCAGCACAGGATGTTTGAATTTTTAGATAAATAACTGGGATGGGTTACCATTTTACAGAATACACTGAATAATCAAATAACAGTATTTTAATCTTCTATCAGCTTTTATCAGTTTGTTCTCATAGAAAGCTTATTAGTTTGACCATTTGAAAATGGATTTGAACTGGAATTTTTATGTTAGTTTTTTTTTTTAGTTAGCTAGCAGTTTAAAAAGTTGCATATAAGGGCCAGGGATGTAGATAAATGGCGCCATGCTTGCCAGGCAAGCACAAGGTCCTGAGTTCAATTTCCAGTACTAGTAAAAAAAGGTAAAAAGTTGCATATAAATGTTATGAAATTGATTCTTCTAAGATTCCATGTCCATTTACCATTTGTCTTACATTTTTTGAATAAGTTATTAAAAACAATTTTTAAGACAAAGTGGTCTTGGGAGATTTTAAATCTGACAGATCCAGTGTTTGCATATTTTAGCAATAGTTGACTTAAAGACATTTTGCTGAAAAATAATATACCTAGAAAAAGTACCTCTGATGGGTCAAACCCCTTCCATCCACTATTCCCCTTTAACCTCAACAAGGGTAACTACTATTCTGACTTCTGGTACCATATATTAGTTTTATATATTTTTGAACTTTATAAAAATAATAGATTCTGTGTTCTTTGGTATCTAGCTGTTTTTTACTCAATTTGTAAGATTTATCTGTATTGTATGTAGTCAAATCATTTATTCTCTTTAATATATAAAATTCTGTTGGAAAAATAGGCCATTATTTTATGTGTCTATTTAAGTACTTTGTGTTTGCTGCCTCTATCAGTAGTGTTATTGCAAATATTTTAGTATTTTTTTGTAAAGTATGTATGCCTTTCTGTTCCTGTATCTATCTAGGAATGGAATTGCTAGATCATAGGAAATGCACTAGTTTAGCTTTGGTAGATACCATCAGTTTTTCAAAGTGATTGCCTTACTTTACTGTCCTATCAGTCTTTTAATAGGTTCTCTGGTGAAATTTTTTCTTCTGTCCATATTTTCCTCTGATGTTTTTGAACATACAGACCAAAATTGTGTTATAATCCTAGTCTACTGACACCAATTCTCTCAATTATTAGTTAAGTGGCCTTGCTTTTTTGCATGTCTATTTTTTGTGTGGTAGACATTATGTAGCCACACACATGTATAAAAGATCGGCAGACACTCCAGATTTCTGCCTTACGGGGTTTCTTCTTTTCTCCCTTAGGTAGGACAGATGAGAGGCTCTTTCCAGCCAGAGGCAGCACTAGGTTGGGCTGAAGAATAGTTTTATTGAGACTCAGTGTGTATCTCTGATTCCTCTCTATTCATCAAATGTTGACCTCCCAAGTTTTTTTTATTGAGAATCCTGGCAATTCAGGAGCTCCCCAGCCCTGAAAGACCATGGGAAACTATGCTTCTATCCTTTAGAGGTTTGTAGCTCAGCTCTTTAGCTTGCTTACTCATGTATTGCCAAAACTTGTATGTGTTGAGGAATAGACTACTGTATGTTTGAGTTTGACCCCTTTTCTTGGTAGATCTGTACTTCCTAAGTTCTATGAGACTGACTGTAGGAGATTTCAGTGTGCTTTTAAAGAACTTTCAACCTAGCTGTACAACTTCTTGTGCAGCCCCAAAACTCAGCAGGTATCCCATGGGGGAAAAGCCACCTATGAGTTTGAGCTTCCAATTTATCACTCTAGATTGTGAAGCTATTAAATTTTTTTTAAATTTAGTTTTGCCTCAGCCAGGGCCCTTTGCCTGGGTCAAATCCTATTTTCAGTGCATTACCAAGAATCAGCAAATTCCTACAAGAAAAAAGTTTGATTAATTTTTCAGTTTAATGTAGAATGAATGGTTCTTCCCTGTCTGGAATTTGATTATATTAGTTCCTGTGACTACCATACCTCTATGACGCCTGTCATACCTTTATAATCATATAATTCATATACTATAATTTTACACCTTTGAAGTATACAATTCAGTGCTTTTAGTATATTTACGGACTCCCACAATTGTCACCACTATCTAATTTCAGAATATTTTACTTATTCCAAAAAGCCCATACCTATTAGCATTCATTTACCAATCTCCAGCCTCTGGAAACCATTAATTTATTTTCTGCCTTTGTGACTGTGTCTTTTTTAGACATCTTATATTAGTGATATCACAGTATGTGGCCTTTTGTGTATGATTTCTTTTGCGTTATATAATGTTTTAATGTAATGGTGTCAGTCCTTCATTCCTTTTTATGGCTGAGCAATATTCTGTTATATGGCTGCGTCACATTTTGTTTATTCATTCATCAATTGATAAACTTTTGGATTATTTTCACTTTTGGCTATTACGAGTATTCCTTACATGACCACTTGTGTGCAAGTTTTTGTGTAGACATGTGTTCTTAGTTCTCTTGGATATAAACCTAGAGGTAGAATTTCTGGGTTATATGGTAAAATTAAGTTTAACTTCTTATGAAGCTGACAGAATTTTCCAAAGAGGCTGTACCATTTTACCTTCTCATGAGCAGCATATTAAGGTTCCAGTTTCCCCACATTCTTGTCAACACTTGTTGTTGTTGTTGCCATCCTGTTAAGTGGAAATGGTGTGTTATTATGGTTTAATTTTCATTTACCTAGTGACTAATGTTGATTATCTTTTCTTGTATTTATTGGTCATTTGTTTATTTTCTTTGGAGAAATACATATTCAAATGCTTTTCTCATTTTTGTGTTCTTTTTATTGTTGAGTTGTGAAAGTTCTTTATTCGAAATGCAAATCTCATATCATATATACACTATGCATATGTTTTATTCCATCCTTCAACTTGTGGTGGGGGATTGCACATTGTTTGTTGCTGGGAATTAAATCCAGGGTGTCATACATTCCAGGCAAGTACTTGATCATTAAGCTACATACTCATCTCTTCTGACTTTCTTGATGGTATGCCTTGAAATACAAAAGTTTTTAATTTTGATGAAGTACAATTTGTCTCTGTTTTGTTGCTTGTACTTTGGTTTCATATCTAAGAAATTGCCTAACCCGAGTTCCTAAATATTTATTTGCTCCTGTGTTTTCTGCTGAGTTTTATAGTTTGGCTCTTGCATGTAGGTCATTGATGTACTTTGAGTTGATTTTTATATATGTTCTGAGATAGGGATCTGATTTCACTCTTATGGATGGGAATATCTAGTTGTCTTGGCACTGTTTGTTGAAAACATTACCCTTTCCCTGTTGCCTTGGTACCTTTGTTAAAAATCATTTGATTTTAAATAATATGGCATTATTTCAGCACTTTCAGTTCTTTTTATTGACCTGTGTGTCTGTCCTCCATGGACTTGATGGTACCTTTGTAGTAAGTTTCGTGTTTGTGAAGCATGAGCCCTCCAGTTTTGTTCTTTTTCAAGGTTATTTTGGCTGTTTTGGGTCCCCTATATTTCAATATGAATTTTAGGATCAACTTGTCAATTTGAGTCTTCCATCCGTGAACATTTATTCTCGTTAAATCTGTTTGAACAATATCTAACAGTTTTCAGAGAACACATCTTGCAGTGTTTTCAATAAATTTGTTACTAAACATTATTTTTCATACTGTTGTAAATGGAGTTGTTTTAGTTTCATTTTCAGTTTGTTCGTTGCAAATGTATAAGAATATAGTTGACTTAAATATATTGATTTTGTATTTTGTATCTTTCTGAATATGTTTAGTTCTCATAGCTCTTTTATAGCTGTGAATTCCTTTGAACTTTTTAAATATGAAGTTCATGTCATCTGTAGATAAAAATTGTTTTTTCCTTTCCATTCTGAAAGCTCTTTATTTGCCTATTGTCCTGTCTAGAACCTCCGGAACAATGTCAAATATAAGTGGCAAAAGTAAACATCCTTATCTTGTTCCTGATCTTAGGTCTTAGGTAGCAGCTTTCACTCTTTCAGTCTTTCAGCCAAGATTGACATTAGGTAGTTGTATGTTTTTCATACACCCCTTTATTATATTGAGGAACTCCTATTCTTAGCCTGTTGAGAGTTTTAATCATGAGAGAATGTTACCTTTGTTCAAGTATTTTTCTCTCTCTCTCTACTATGATGACCATGTGCTTTTTGTCCTTTATTCATATAGCATATTGTATTGATTTTTCATATCTTAAAACAGCTTCGTATTTCTGGGGTAGATTTCTCATGATAAAAGTGTATGATTCTTTTTATATGTTTCTGGATTACTTT